ATGAGGGTACTCGTAGCAGTGTAGATGAGTGGTTAGCGTGTCAAGCTTCCATCCTGTACTGTCGCGATTCGACTCCCGCTGAGGGTGTTGATAAGACCGATTCGAGGTCGAAACTGCAGTTCACTTCTGTCTGGATGAGAACAACTTTTGGGAAATCAAGTCTATGTGAAATCAATGGAGACGTCAGCTTAACTCATATCATTGTGGGAAAATTCTACTACCAGTTCGGAATAAAAGTTCGGCAAAACGTGGAGGAGAGTTAGTTCCTAAAGAAGCCACATTCGTGAACAAAAGTTCATGTGAATGTTATAAACAGCTGTTAAGGCATGCAGCTAAGTATACTGAGGCGGCATCGGAAAGAAATTGCAGATTGCGCTCAAATGTTCGAATATCTGTGTTTACTTCACATGGGACCAATATTGAGAATATAGACATGGCTTCGTGGTATCACCGCAACTCTTCAGGTGTCTGCCCGAAATACAAATGCTGCTGTGTGAGATATAGAACTCTTGGGTGTGTCTGGAGTCATCACTATGCAAGATTCACTTTCATCAGCAGCATTGTGGATCTTGAATAAAGCAAAGCATACACGAAGTTGATGGCCTTAAAGAGCGATATTCACTAAAAATCCCCTTGACCCAATTAGGCCTTAATGAATAAGTAAAGCGAAAAATCTTATAAGACAACCGCCTACTTAAGGCTTTACTACACAAGAGATAATAAAATAAACCATTTTCAATATAAAACAGCCTAATAAATGGAATGTCGTGACTGTTCGTGACCTGAGCGGTGCATTAGTCGAAACTAACGTGCTAGTAAACCTTATTAAACACCAAATAACTAGAAGAAGCATCCAAGTTTTAAATTTGCGGAGCCTCAAGTGGAATAAATAGAGTCAAATGCACTTATAAAAAAGTTTATACTATCATATGTTGGCAAAATCGAAATTATTTCCATGGTTGGTGCTTCATTTTGTTTGTAAGATTCGTTATGTATACGATTTATTCACCCTCTTTCGTTAAAGTGATGAAATTTCATCAGTATTTGACTACTTGTACACACACTATTCCATGAAAAATCTTATATGCATATATGTATTTATAGATATGCATATACATGTATGTATTTTTTATTTATACGGAGATAGAGAGGGAAAGAGAGACTCATCTTAAACCATAAAATAGAGCTCCACAGACCCATCCAGTACTTGGAAAATTCTGTCGTCAAGGGCATCTATAAATAGCGCTTAAGCTGTAGAGAAATTGCAAAAATTCTCATTGAACAACCATACTTCAAACTGCAAATCGGCATAAGCAATAACCTCGTCTAAAAATATGGGTAATGTATGAAAGTTTGCCGTCATCATAAAACAGTAATTGCTCCACATATCCGTGTATCCATATGATATAATTGGCCTACAATGTCGGTTTTATGGGATACAGCTCGATTATTTGTTATAGCATAAAGACAGTGTTAGGAAAGATATGTGGAACTGACTAATCATGTAAGTATAGCCAAGTAGGTTGCGCCAATTCGAAACTTGTATAGAAGTGGTCTAACCTCACCTTTGCAACTTAGTCGTGGTGCCATGGGAACCTCCCAAAACCTACCCCATAGTGTGTGTTCGGCCAGGTTGGACATGATTATTTCCAGCATCGGAGCATTGACTATCAAAATAGCCGAAATAGTATGAGGTACGTCCTTTAGTGAAACTTGTATATGTAAAAATGATAAATAGGCGAAAAGGATTTTCATCTTTCTTTCACAGGGCCTTTCATTTTCCCCGTGAGGTATAAATAAATAGTCTTGGACATTAAATCAGAGTCTACTTCATAGCCGGATTCTTGCTTTTATTTATGTACCTTACCTGTTTGGAGTCTATTCCAGTAGTGAGAGGACTATCTCGAGCCCAGTGGCTACTTGGGCTGAAAAAATATTGTGCATATCCGACGGCAAGGAATGGTGAAGCAACCCACCTTGTGCACAAAAATAGGCAGTCCTTGATCGGCGCCGCCTTGTAGCGCGAAACCCCATGACTTGTCCGATGTGGGCCGCCGCAGACTCAACGTCACAAATTCAGTCGTCGCCATCTCCACAATATTGAACTGATCGGCTTTGCGATCAATCTAGCGAAACGAAGATGCCGACGGTAGGTGAGGCAACAACCAAGAATCGAACTTGCCCGTGAAGACTGACGGAAAAGACGAGTCCAAGTGAGATTGGCCAGAGAAAACGTCTTCGGTAGGTAAGAAATGCAGATAATTAATTAGTATGGCGTTAAGGCTAGGAAGATGCACAACTGCAGGTTCGCACCTCGCTTTTTTAGAAGTATTATCGACTGGTGTCTCGGTTACTCGCCAGGACGACTCTCCTTATCGTGGCAAGGTCAAATGGTAATTGTACGGATTGGACCGGGCAAATGAAACTCGGTTGGGCAATCCGAAAGATGCCGAAGGCAGAATCAAGGAAGCTGGGCACAGGCGAGTCGACTGCACCAATACCCTTTCGCCTGGGCTCCCGGCCTGCCGGCACAGACATGGTGGGATCGACTTCTGCCTCTATACATGCTCGTCTCTGCATCTCCTCACGTGGATTTCGTCTTCGCGCATTGTCAGACAGATCGATCAGTTTGCACACATCTACCAAATGCACTGGCCTCTCTGGTCGCTCGGAGACAGTCTCGGACACGGGCTGGAGCCGGAGACACTACTGGATACCCGCATCTACACACACACACACACACACACACTCGCACAAGCATAAACACACACAAAAAC